CCAACAATCTGGGTCCTCATTTTACCCACCTCGGAAGGATGGAAGGCTGAGTCAACCCTGAGCCGGTGAGATTTGAACTGCTGAACTGCTGATCTAGCAGTAGCCTGCAGTGCTGCATTTAACCACTGCGCCACCTTGGCTCAAAGCAAGATCTGAGCCAGCAAGGTACGAACAAGTACATATCAAATGATAACCCAACCCCCTCCCTCCAATGACCCCACCCCAGTGTCCAATCTGCAACTACCTTAGGTGTCATGTGGATTGCATCTCCAAAAGGCATTATCATGTTGGTATGCAGGACAGTTGGCCTTGACCAGGTTCAAACACTGGCCACCAGCATGCGCAGAAGATGGTGAGAAGAAAACTTTCTTTTTCATATCACCTCCTGTACCATTTATTCCCATCCCAAATATCATGCCCCCACCCACCCCGTTTGTATGGCAGCTGATATCAAGTAAGCAAAGCAGAGGCTGACAAGTGGTCATCTTCAAATCTACTATATCATTAATATTTTGATGTGCAAAACTGGCCAACAGATTAATTCAGCAATAAAAAGAGCTCCATAATAAGGGAAATAATTCAATCAAATTTACTTGGCATCTGTAAATATATTAATAATATTTTCCTTAGCGATTATCCACCTCAACAAACCTTAGGGAAGACAAGGACATAAATATTTAATATTTATGTCAGGGTAACATTTATAATTTTAGATTCTTAAATATTATTTTATCTTTGTTTTAGTTTATTGATGGTTATTGCTTCCTAAGGAAGATTGATAATAATTATGCTACTTTTGATCTGCAAGCCCTCATGCTAACTCAAAGTGTATGGTGGAAAAAAATGGGACTAAAATTAAATATAAATATAACCAAACTAATGACAACAGATAGAACAACCAGCCTGAGAATTAACAATGAAGATATCAAAGTGTGGATAGCTTCTGTTTTTTATGATTAACTTTTCAACAGTAAAGAAACCAGTAGTCAAGATATAACGCTGCACACTAGCACTTTGTAGAATAGTTATGAAAGATTTGAAAAACGCATTCTATACATACAATGTTCAGAATTGTACAAGCCATAGAATTCCCTGTGATATTCTATGGAATCAAAAGTTGAAGTTTAAAGATGTTTAAAATACTCATGACTTTGAACTTTGATGTTGAACAAGACATCTAAGAATATTGAGAACAATAAAACAAATGGGTGGATCATTGAACAATTCAATAGACATTCCAAGGCAAAGGCTCAAATTATCCTCCTTTAGACATATTATGCAAAGACCCAGCTCTTTGGAAAAACCTCTAATGCTGGGAAAGGTAGAAGAAAAGTGATGATGAGGATGACGACAGCAAGGTGAATTGACTGAATTATAATCACCACAACATTGGGAAAACAGATCAGAATGATTAACATATAAAAAGAATCTATCCAGATGGTAGCTAGGAGTTCTAAATGATTTAGAATGATTCTGAATTGTATATTGTACTGCTATTTTTTTTTAAAAAGGTTAATTTTTTTTAAAAAAATTACAAAGCATTCTTAAATTTTATTTTTTCAATAAAATATGAAAATCACCTTCATTATCATAACCACTATCATCAAAACATTACAGCTATATGAACCAATGACCTCGGGAGCTATGTTAAACTAGTCAAGTGTTATTATCATTGTATATTATTGTTTACTTACTATTACATATTATTTAAGCCCTTTTGCTACTACTGTCTGGTGAATAGAACTTGAGATATATCAAAATACTCTACTTCATTAATGACAATGTATACACCATAAAAATTCATAACAACAACTTTCCTTTTTGCCTTTCATTTGATTTTGCACGTACAACAGAAATGTTTCTGTATTCCATGCAGGCTACTATACTAATTCCCATCTAGTACTTTCAAATGTGCTTCAGTTATTCATGTGCTCCTGGCAATGATCAACACATTCTTCAAACATTTGTATCTTGGCAGTTTTATATGTGAACAATCTTGTATACCTTTTTTCTCCCTTTTATAAGATTATCAACACAACTGAACATCATAGACATTTTGATGAAGAACAGGGACCTGAATAAGTGAAACATATGTATGCAACAGAATACCACAAAGATTAGGACAGAATTTCTAACCTTGCACCTATCTAACTGTGTTTTCACTGCATCAGGATCTGTTGCCAGTAAGAGCTGTGCTTTCATCCAATTTTCAGAAGTAATTACTGTCTGCTCCAATTGCTGCAGCTGAGAGTAGAAGGCAATAATGTTATTTTGGTTCTCCAACCATGCCAGTCTTTCACTCAGTAACTGACAGAACTCAGTCCACCGGCTGTTCAACTGCTCTGAAGCCTGTTTGATGTTGTCAGCATTAAGCCCATCTAAAAAAAAAAGATAGGAAAGAGTTGAGCACATTTATTTTTAGTTTATCATGAATACAGAAAAGTAATGTAAAGACAAACATTTAATAACTGTATCTGAATCAGAGGATTTATAAAAAATGATCTTGAGTATACACATGTATATATATATATATATCTCTCTCTCTCGCACACACACAAACACCATGTATGCATGGTAGTACATAAAACAAGCATTCACACATTAGGAGGAAAATGTAAAACAAGGCCATAGCATTTCATATATTACCTATGGAAAGGTAGTCCAATCTATTTTAAAGTTTAACATATCATATAAATTAAAATATGATTAACACATTTATACTTACAAATTGATAATCAAATGATTCAGAGACAGAACAACAAATAGGAAGCAGACTCAACAAAAAACTCAGGCATTCAAACACAAACCATTCCAGATCATGGGATCCCAACAGAGAACAGTAAATGGTTTGTAACAGAATGAATGCTCACATATCAGAAACCCTCCGATGATATCTATAAGAGTTGGGTAAGTATTAAGGGTCTGAAGGACAATGTCAAAAATATTTGATTTAAAAAGGTGTGTTGGTTTTGATATGAATTCATATATTCTACACCTGTAAATGTATCTCTAAATACAGTAACTAAGCGGTGAATATTCATAAAAGAATATTCCATAATATTAGTGTTTTATAAAAGATTTGGGGAAGTCAGGCCACTTTTT